CGCATATCAAAGTTATAATGAGCACTACTTGCTTGAAATTGAGGCCTTCCTTCATTATTTTTATTAATTCCAATACTGTCCCAAATATCAGCCCTTAAATTTACCTATAGATTATTCAGTTTCCAATCTATCTTTGCGTGTATACCATCGTTGTATGAATGAAAACGAATTCATAATTTCAGCACATTTTATACTCAAAACCACTTTTAAAAATAAATTATTTATTAAATCTCTTTATTTATATTTATATTTTTGTTTTAGCCTTCAAGTTCACATCTAAACCAAGCCATCGTAACGAAAATTCTGCCTTGTTTCCTGATTTTAATATCGATATTTGTCCCCCTCCCGGTCTTGCTCCTGATGTTGATTTATATATCTTTCGAGTATTTACAGATTCACAAATATCTTACACATCATGGTTTCTTGATGCTTTCAATTATGCAATTGCAAGGCGCTTGGACGTTATAAATTTGAGCAATGGAGGTCCGGACTTCCTTGACAAGCCTTTTGTGGAAAAGGTAATTTCTAGATTAACTTAAGTGTTTTTTGTAGCTTTCTATATGATTTGATTTAAACTAAAGATTCGCTTATAAAAAAGCTAAGAGTTATGCGATCAATGTTTCTGGTTCGAAACTTAGTTACAAGTTGGAGATATATTTAAATGCTACGAGATGGAAATTTAGAAGTATAATGTTTTTTGGCTAGGCTGAGTGGTAAATTAGATTGCGAGGTTTTATCGCTAAGGTGCAAAGAGGAGGAAATATATTTTATGTGATCCTACTAATAAGTATGTGATTTGAGGAACCTAACCTCTGTCCGATGGACAAGAATAAAGCCGAAGGGTGTACATAGATATGTGGTAGTAATAAATGTGCGGTTTTGAGATATAGAATGGATCAGGCAACGATCAGAAGAGGATGGCGAAAATCATGCTGCTGAGTCTAGCCAAACAAACGAGGCGCTATCAAATGGTGTGGCGTTGATTCAACCAGGGTCCGGGCAGTGCAACCTAGCGTAACGATCGTTGGAACATTATTAAAGACTTCTAGGTTGGCTCAGTCCTTTTTACACGATGGTCTATCTTATGGCCAAGATGCGAATGCGGGCAAATTAATGGTTCTAAGTAGGGCGATAGGTTTGGCTTTTACTAGCAAGGCTAACCCGATGTATTAATAAACAATCTGCTTTTCTACAGTTCAATGATTAGGTTACAAGTGGACGAACTCAGATCGATTACACTTTTTGGTGGGATTAACAGATATATTAAAGAATTTTTGCTTAGATTATAACCGAAGAAGTAAATACTTCATAAGAAAGGCAAGGTAGGAATGAATTAAATACGGGAATATGGAAAGATAGTTGTTATTCGATGTGTCGCTGGCATCTTAATTCTAATCTTCTGGGCAATTTACTCTTTTATGCATTGATGGCATTTCATTTTAAATTATGCTTGGCCTAGTAGTATCACGTTAGTAATTTCAGTGTTGGTTCGATCTCGTTTTCGCAACTTGGTCGGAGCTTCA